ACAATGAAATGAAATTAATATAAAAAATATAACCCGTCAATTGGCTTTTTTTTAAATATAGATATGTTTTGGATTTTAAATAACATTAAGTTGTTTGTAAACTTGCAATGTTTTTTCATGTCCATAATTTACTTTCCAGCTTTGCGTCGTTGAGTGAAATTTGCAAAGTTTTCCGAGGGTCGGCCGGCATTAGTCTCCCCTAATTGTTGCATCTCGGGCATTTTTTATTGCGGTCTCGTGCATGCCAGTGTGTCCGCGGAAGGGACGCGGTGCAGCGAAAGGCGCGTGATGTTTACAGCCGGCTCGACATGAATACCAAGCACATTGGCAAAAAACATAAAAAGCAGGTCTCTCTCTGCTCTCACACATCTCCACTTTTATTGTTCGCACCAAAGGCGATTCCAACCAAATGTTGCACAAAAACAGATGCTTTCTCTCTTCCGTCTCCAAAGAGAAAAGAGGGAGCGGATTCAAATTTTATTTCATTTCGCCCTCACTTGCCTCTCCATACGCGTATTTCATTTTTCATGGGCGTTTTATATTATTTCCCATTGATTTCTGTCACCTCTGATCCCTCTCGGCACGCACAGAAATGTATGCACATTTTTCACCCTAGCTCTTCGAAATGAAATGACTGACGAGAAAATTTCATAAAAAGGCTCACCTTTTCTAAATTGTATTTTTACTCTGATATTGGATAAATTCCGTTTATATAAAAACGAAAAAAGCGTCATAGGGTTTTTTTCTAATTTTTTTCATCCTTCCTTGAATTAAATATTTTTGCATTTAAATTTTCCGGTGCAAGGGAAATTTGAATTAGAAAGGGGGTGCGAGAGGTGAATGCGACACCTTCCGCTCTCTCTTCTGCCACAGGAAAGTGAAAAAGGGTCCGGCGAAAGAGAAATGCGTGTATGTGAACTTCTCTGCTCTGAAGAGGGAGGACCAACTTTTATTTTTTAAATTTCCCTTTCTCGCAGTGACTGGGGTGCGAGCTTGGCAAATTCATGCTCGCGCGCACATAAATAGTTGAGAACACGTGTGCGACTTCACGTGTGTCAGCGCAAGCGAAAAACTTCAGCGCCAACAGCATCAGCAACTCGGGCCATCACGTACTATGCTTTCTTTCAGCCAGAAAAAAAGCAGCAGGAGCGTGAGAATTTTATTTTATTGCTTCGTATTTCATCGGAATTAATGAAATTCGGGGAAAAAACTCTAGAAGCAAAACGCAAAGAATTGTATATCACATTTTTTGACTTGAATTTTATGAGATTTGAGTTTTTCAACAGATCCTTCAGCTTGGGGTCATATTATGAAATTTTTTATGAAACAAATTTTTAAAATTCAAGGATCAATTATATTTAAAATCTTTACTTAACATTATATGATTATTTAATTAAATTAAAAAATATATATATCAAATAGGTCAGGGATAAAGAGAAGCTATTGGTAAAAACTTGCTTGTATTCAAATTTCGCTAACAACTTCAGTTTTTTATATGTATCATTTATAAATTTTTTTTTTTTAGTTTTTGACGTTTAGACACCTTAATTTGGTTAATTTGTAAAGGAAGTAGCAATTAAAATTGATATTATTGAATACTTCCAAAATCGTCAGTTTAATTTTAAGTCGATTAGGCAATGCAACAGTGAATTACAATACGTGAGGTTGACATTTTTTCCAATAACAAATGTTTAAAAATTTCTACTCCGTTTTCAGCGAAGAAGTTCAATTTTGTCTTTGATTAGTTTTCGCAGCCAGGACGAGGAGCAATTTGAAATCTAGACCGAGAGATTGTGGTTGCGGGGGTGTTTTTGGGGGGCGCGAGGGGGGCGATTGCACCGCTTGAGAAGCGAGAGAGTGATATGTCAGCTTTATTATTAAAGCGCCTCTCTTCTCTCTCTCGGCGTGGCATGGCAACTGAATTAGTGAAACTGCAGTGAGCGAATTCTGCGAAGAGCTGCTGCGCGCCGCCGGCAGGATAAGATCAGGGAAGCAGTGCAAGAGTTGGGCGAGGCGAGGAAATGAATATCGGGGGCCGTGTTTAATTTAGATAAAAGCATATGTTAAATCGAGGAGGAAGAGAGAGAGCGAGAGAGAGACCCGTCTCTCATCCACGGCTCTTATTTCACTCGGTGCTCCCAAGCTTTGCTCTCTGGAAATTATTACGCAAACGGTTGTGCCCGCGAGCACCTTGTTTTTATCGCCGCAGCTTGAATTTCCTCACGCTCCATTCAAGAAAATATGGAAAAGTTTTAGAGTGATAAAAATTTCATCACAAAAATAAGTCAAAACATTTCTAAAAATTTGACTTGGTTCATAAATTTTAATTAATTTGAAGGATTCCATGCACTTTCAATCCAATTTTGGTCTCTCGTCCAGAATATTTGTCACTGTTGCATAAATAATTGATCTTATTTTGTAGAATCATTTTTATTCGCTAATAATGAACTATATAATGAAAGAATCACGATTTCACTGCATGATTTTTATTGACAAAAATTATGTAGTTTTTTGCAGATAGTAGAATATAATAAAAAAAATTTTATTGCATAATTGAAACAATAATTTTGATGGTGTCATTGAATAATAAAACCTCTTGATATATAAATATCAAAATTATTTTAAACAAAACATATTATATAAAAAGTAAATTCAATAAATAAAAACAATATATCACTCAATTTATGTGAAACTATTAGACTTAAAAAATTTAAAAATATTTATTAATTTAATTTTAAATTGCTTAAAAACATTAAACTTGCTTCTCTACGTTTTAATGGAGACACACCCTATCCAAGTTATCTTGCGTCTGCCTTTAAGGAGAAGCGATTGGCAATAAAAATGAGTTTGGTGCGGGTGCACATGCATATTAAATTGTGCATATCTGCGCCGCTGGAGTGATTGCGGAGAGAAAGAGCCTCTGCTGTGAGAGAGCGGATGGCTGCTTTTCTCGCCGCTCATTTCTGCTCCTTGGCTCGTCATTAGCGCTTATCTCAGACCAAGATGTTGTGTTTATGGACCATATTACCTTCCTGGACAGGGCACATCACCAGATAACACACATACACACACAGCTAGAGAGAACCACTCGCCATATCAAAATAACACTCTAGAGAGCTAGCACGCTCGAGCTACTGCAAAACGTTATAGCCCCTTTTTCGGAAGAAGGGAAATAATATATTGTGTTTTCATTTTTTTTCTTTTAATTTGCGAAAATGAAGTCATATGACACATGAATATTTTGTATGTTTATTTTGCTTTTACTCGTAAACAATGGTGAAAATGTTTGGTTCAAAAAAGCACTGATTTTAATATTTTAAATTGGTGCATAAAATTTTTGAAAAATTGTGGCAATTTCTACATTCTGTATTTTTAAATGGGGCATTATTCATACATATATGACTTATCAAATATAACGGAACATTCGAATATCCCTAAATTTAATTGGAAATTAATGAAAAAAAGACAACTCAAAACAATAAGACAATATTTATATTTCCAATTAAATATTCCATACAAACGGTTTCATACAGTTTAATCCTTCCTTCTTGAATGATTTGATTTTGGGATTTAAAGGTAAGATAGATTTTCCAATTTATTTTACTTATTTCCATGTATTTTGAAGGTTGATAAGGTTCTCTCTGGTGACTTCGGATGGTCGTATGGATAAATATAAGAATTTTTCAAATGCACTAACACATACATACAGAAAAGATTCAATATAAATCTGTTGACTGGGAACAGTTACGTTATATTGCTCTCTCTTGTATAAGTGCGATAACAACGGCAGGTATTGGACCCTGGTAGAAAAACACTCGAGGTTCTGAGCCGAAGTAGTGCGCAGGTGACAATGAAACGTTCGTTTTCTGGGCGCAGACGGTGACAATAACACACGGAATTTAAAAAGGTATATTATTAGTATATTTAAATTACACTTTATAAATTTTTTTTTATAAATAAATTTTAAATTCTAGATTGCGTATTCCCGATTAATTTTGTGATTGAAAAAAATATAATACTGCATAATTATATTGGAATTGCCAATTTTATTTAAGTCGGTTTATTCCTCAGCAAAAGAAGCGACTAAAATTAAGTGTATTTAAGACATAATTATAGAAGCTATATAAAATTAGCTGATAGTTAAGGATAAAAAATGCTAAAAATAGAAAATGTGACAAGAGAAAAAAATAATTTTTGTATTTTCTTATTACCCAGATAAATTAATTTTAATTTGCATTAAATTATATTGTAAGGATCATTTAATTTTTTTTTATTAACTTGACAGAAAGTTACCAAATGAAACATAATTTAGAACAGAAATGTGTTTATTAGTTGATTCGGTTGTTGATATTTTTGTTCAATTACCGCGGCGGCCGAGTCTATTGACTTTTAATGAGCGTTTCAGCATTAGCAGACATCTCGACATCTGCAAGCTTTAAATTCCTACTTCTCTTTTCCAACTGATAACCGAGTAGAATAAATTAAAACAAATATAATTTAAATTCTTTTTGTACGTTTATCATATGAAAACAAAACATTTTGTAAAAACAAAAAATGGGTATAATTTTTTTAATACATAATTAGTTTGTTTTGATCAATGTAATCTGGTTTAATCGATTTTATCATAGGTGATTTCACAGACAAAATTATTACATTAGTAGCCATGATTTTGGCAGCAGAAAATAAATATTGAAACAAAAATCCATGCATTTATTTATAGGAAAATCAGCATGATTTTGATTTGATTAATTTAGTATTTTAGAATTTTTTAAGTTTAAAAAATAGCCACAAGTTCAAGCAATTTTCTCTTACATCAGAAAAATAAATTCCCTCTCTCAATATCGTCATCAAATTTACAACGAAATCGGTGGTATAGCCACGAAAAGAATTTTATCCAAAGCAATTCCAAGAAGGCGAAGCCTTTGTTTGCTTGTGCAAACACGATTCATAACTAACTAACTACGCTGGCGTGACGAATCCAGCAAATTCCAGACGGTCGGAAGGAGGAAGGAGCGATGAGCGGGGAAGCGGACGGCGCCCCCTGGTCGCCTGCAGCACCCTGCGAGCCCTCCTCAGGTGGCCCTGACGAGTCGTGCTGGTCAGTGTGTCTCTTGTCAGCGGCGAGTGCAGCGACCACGGAACAAACGGCCGACAACATGTACACCCCGTACGGCCCCTACTTCGCGCCCACCCAAGACCCCTTCGCCCTTCTCCAGCAGGGTTGCTACCCCTCGTGCCCTGACCCTGCGGCGCAGGATGACTACCCCTCGCAGTTCTACAACCAGCAGCAACAACAGCAGCAGCAGCCCCAGTGGCCGTACAACAACTTTCAGGAACACACACCCCTTTACAAGAGCCTCCCACTGCAACTTACTACTTCAGGTAATTATTAATTATATTTATTTCTATTATAATATTGTGATCTTTTTATTTGGATTTTTTAATGATATTCTGTGATAAATTTTTTTAAATATTTATTGAAACGTTGCGGGAATAATTTGGCGTAATTTAAAATTAGATTTATGGATAAGTTATGTATTTATTTACTTATTAATTACTTCTTTAATTTTTAAAATAATTATGCGTAGACTTATAAAATAAATTGCATTGGACAATAGTTCTCTAGCGACAAATGTAGGTTGAGTTTATTTTAGTTTTTTTCTTGAATTATTACTGCTTATATTTTCATTGTTGAAATACATTTAAAGAACAATGAGAGGTATCAATTTTTGGGATAAGAAACATTGAATTGTTGGAAAAAACGACATCAAAGTGAGAATCGTCGTGCTTAGTTTTCGTTCTTTTCACTAATCACAGGTTTTGCCACGGTTGGGCCTTGCACAGGGCAAGAAATATGTAATTTCTGAATTTTTTTAAAAAAATGTTTCTACTAGTTAAAATCAATTTAATGAAATTTTAATGAATGCGTGTTCTAATTACCGATTTAAAATATTTTCACATGAGCTATTTTGAATAAGAAAATAATTAAAACTATGTCTTTTTCTTATCCATTAAACAGCTTTAAAAACTGATAATTATTCAAGTTCAAATTAAAAATTTAATTAATTAGAATTTTTGTGTTTCTTGCTTGCACATTGTTGGCAATGCGTGGCGCCTGAAAAATTTCCTTTCGATTTCTACTTGACAGTCGCGTCATATTCTGCCTGTTTGAATGATCGGCAGGCGGCCTTGATCGAAACCGAAGTGCATTTTCCTTGCCTGGCCAAATGTAATTAGGAATGCGACCGTTGACCGACGGGGTCGGCGCCCTCTCGGAGCCTTCCTTTGTATTTCTTTCCCGCGACTCCTCTCTCTTGTCGATACCTGGCATGTCTGCCGGCCGGCGCCATCCATCGCAGACTCGATTCTCCAGTGCTGACATTTATTTTGTTTGCCAGGAATTAATCACCAGACAACAATTAACCCCGCGCGCGCCCAAAGTTTCTTTATATATTATAAACTCGCCTGCTGGCATTTCTTGTCCCCCGGCCGCATTTAAGACGGAAATTTTGGAAAATTAATTTTTCGCTGCCTACTGGGTTTGGATGAAAATATATAAGTGAAAGAATAAAGGGGGGAAATTTATATGTCACACCAAAGGTTAACTAAAATTGCACATGACAGGCCCGCGGCTAAGAATGTATATATATGTAAAAGAAAGGGTGCAAAGAGTCTGCTCTGGATCAGCGGAGAGATTTATGGCCGGCAGGAAAGAAAGAAAGAAAGAAAGACGTGCTTTTAAGTGCAAGTGCTCCAAAATTGTGATTAATTATATTTTCCAGCGGGCTCCGTTTTGAGCAAAAATTATCATTTCGTCACTTCAATTAAAATAACTTAATTTATAGACACCATCAGAAATGGTTAAATAAATTTTTGTTTGTTAATTAAATTATTTATTATTAATTTATTTTATTAGATTAATTTATTAAGTTTTAAATATCAATTTTGATCAATTTCATCAACGATCTATTCCAATAAGCATTCTAAAATTGTCAAATCTTTTATTGCTAAAATTTAATGACTTTTTTTCATATTCATATTGTTATAAATTAGATCAGCAAACCAGAAGGTTGCAATAATATTTTCTACTGTAAAATCTTTTTCACTCCAATGGACGTTGAGGCAAAATAACTGTATGTAATGCTTGGTAAATTTATTGAACCTTAAATTATTTATAATTTCATACATTATACATTGTTATAATTTTCACTATTTACTTTTATCGTTTTCATATTTTGATTTTACATTTATTAATTTCATTTTTTTTTCTTCAGAACCTGAGAGCTGCACTTCAAGTCCCTCATCTCCAGGAAATGTTTGCTCGTCGATTAGTTCCTCATCATCAACCCCGAAGAGGGCAAGAACCGCCTACAGCGCCGAACAGCTGAACAAACTGGAAACCTCGTTTCAGGTATAGATAACATAATTTTTCAAAGGAAAATCTCATTAAGGGGAAAAGGCAATCGTTAACAGAACTAAATGATATTAATCAACTCCTATTGCATCTTGATTAACAATTATTTTTCCTTGTAAAATTTCAGTCCAACAAATACTTGTGCCGCACCAGCCGAATCCAGTTGGCTCAGAGTTTGTCGCTGACGGAGCGTCAAATCAAAATCTGGTTCCAAAACCGGCGGATGAAGGCCAAGAAGCTGGAGCGCCAGCAGACAAAGACTCCGCCGCCGGCGCCACCCCTGAGCAGCAGCGTCCTCGCAGACTTGTGTCCGCCCAACGTGGACATCGGCCAGTTCTTCCGAGACATGCCGCTGCCTCCGCCACCCCCGTTCAACCCCAGCAGTCTGTGGCAGCCGCACCGCCAGCTCAAGTCTGAGCCCCTCTGAGTGGGCATCTCTGCAACTCCGGCGCGCCTCGCCAGCTGCATAAGCCACAGGCGCTCCGACTGAATGTACGTTGACTGATTAAATTCCGTTCTGTAATGAAAAGGTGCTAAAATTTTGTAACCACGCAGAGTTCTGTGGCTAAAAATTTTCAATTGGCACTACAGATATTTCAAACTGTGAACTTAAACAAATACAAAATAGAGAAGAAAGAGAACTGCTGTAGTTTTTAGGTTAAATTCTAGATACTGACTGAGAATTTAATATGTAATGATTCTTGAAAAAGGTTTGCTTCATTAAATTTAACATCCCTATGACTGAAGCTTGAAAATTTTTGAGGTCGAATTGATTTTTGTGCAAACTGAGTTTTGCAAAATCTCTAGAAATATTATAATTTGAATGAAAAATAATAATTTCATAGTGAGATCGAGAGAGATGTTTTGAAATAAAAACTTAACGTGAAATAATATTAGTGAGCACATCAAATAAAGTTGAAAAAATTTCTAAAAACCACTTCTTCTTTTGAATTCCTTTTCCGAGAAGAGACTTTGGGTGTAAAATTAAAGAGGAACTGGAGTAGGAGGTTTTGAAGGGAACACGTCATCTGCGTGACGGCCAAAACTATCCCCCTGGTCTGTCAGTCGCGCTAAAGATGGATTGCCAGCGAATGGAAATCAACCCTCTCTCCAACCCCTCGCGGTGCATCCCCCAGCGTTCAGCGGCCGGAGCTAGAATGCTGCTGCATTGATAAAACCGAGGAGCCGCTCTTTAAATATTCAAAAACGCGGTGATGCCATTTCAAAAGCGCCAAATACGCTCACTCACTCAAAGTTTTCATCGAGCCAAAATGGCCAAGTCGAGGAAATTTTAAATAATATTTTATTCTATTTATTAAAAAAGACAAGCTTAAAGTCTAAAGGAAGAGATTGTTTTTTTGTTTTTTCTCCATAAAATTTTTATTGTTTTCCACCTTTGCGAAAACATCTCAATCCCTTTCTCCCCTTATATAGCTCTCGGCCAAAAGACATTTCCTTCCACCCCAAGAAGCGCAGAGAGATTTTTAAACGGATAATTTTTCCAGGGAAGGAGCAGAAAATTGTTGGAAATTATTCGCAGTTGATAAAAACGCGGTGGTGGCGAGAGAGAGGAAAAGAAAGGAGGAAAAAACGGGTTGTTCTGTCATCTGCTTGAAATTATTGTTATTATGCTAATTCCGTGTCTTTGCCATCTTTTATGGAGCACGCGGGCTGCTGGGGGAGCTAAGAAAGATTTATTCGCTCGGAATCACCGCCGCACTTTTACACATATAAATTTATTTATCCCTCTCGCCGAGCGCCGCGCACACACTAAATAAAATAAATGTTTTTGTCGGGCGCATGGCTTTGTGCGGTTCGGCCCGCGCTTAGTATTTTTAATTATTTCTCTATTTTCGCTCCGCTTGGCTCATTCTTTCCGTCTCCGCCAAAGGAAATATGGAGGAAGTGGGAGCTTTATTTTAAAAATTGTATACATATAAGAAGAAGAGCTTTGTAGAAATGAATAAGAGAAAAAAATTATATTGTAGCAAAAATATGCTCCACTATGCATTTTATTATTGACCGGATTGAGCAAGAAATTTTGTATTTTACTTAGAATTAGAATATTGGATTCTTACATTTTATGCAGAAAAGGCAAAATTTTATCTATTTCATGAAACTGTTAGGTATAAAAAAGTACTAATTAACTTTGCACGGAATTTTAATTATGATTAATTGTAAGGAATTTTTAAAACCCTCTGATGTAGAAAATTTAGATTAATTTTTCACATTTTAATTCTTTTCTTTTGTGCAATTAATGTAGTTTGAAATATAATTTCTTTAAAAACTATTCCACTATTTTATTATGGTTTTTATTAAAAGAAATTGTGTCAATTTAATTGATGGCAAAACCCAATTCTGGTGTTTTGACTTTTGTAACATCAACAAAAATTTGATACAGAAAGGGAAGGCCCAATTAATTTTACTGTTCAGTACAACTTTGGTGGATTTGTTTTCCTTTTTTATGTTATTAAATGAATATCAAGCTTCAAGCTGTTATTATTTTATCTTTAAGATTTTTGATTGTTTCGACAGAAATTAAACTCGCTCCAACCGAATTCCCAACGAAATCCTGAGCCATTCAAAAGATTTCCGAGGCCGAACGGCAGAGATAACGCCGAGTGAAAAATGCGTGTGGGTGTTTTTTTTTCTCGCTCGGCTGATCTTTCAGCTGGAATGAATATTTTAATTACCTGCTTTTCCCAACCAAGCAGCGGCAAATCCGAAATCACACTCACACAACATGCACACGAAACAGTAGCGAGGTAGACGGCAAAAAATGGTGCGAGCGAGCCATTTTGGCTGAAACAATGCCGGGCATGTGAGAAAAATGAGTCATTAGGCCGAGACAATGCCCAGCACACACACCGAGACATAAATATGTATTTTCGGAGGATGTTTCCTTGACTGCATCGCGCCCACCCGACGACTTGCTTGCTGTATACATAATCAAGGAATAATTAAATAAGTATACGGCAGCGCAGAAAAGCTCAAATCTGCAGAATTTACATAAAAAGGAAAAACTTTTCCTCCCTTCCTCTGTCGGCGGAGAAAAATGTTTTGTGTGAAAAAGAGGAACACACGCGCGCGCGTGTGTGTGAAATTAAATTATTTGCATAAATTTACATCGCAGATTGGCTCATTTGCATATTGATTAGCGCGCCAACTTTTATTATTTCTTCTCTCCTGCTTTTCCGCCGAGCTCTCTATTTTGCGCCGCCGGGATTATCCACTTGTGCTCGCTCTGGAATAAATATATATATAAAGAGGAGCTTTCCAATTCCAGCAACCCGTCGCGCGAAATCTCCTTTCCTTTCTCCCCGAAATATCTATCTGCGGCCTGTCTCATTTATTTTTAACTAAAAAAGTAAAGCCCTTATGTCCCCTTCTCTTAAATAAGTCCTCCCACACTAAACCGCAAACCACACCAAATAATTTTCAACCGAATGTATTTCCTTATGCAGAGAGTGATTTGTTTTCAAAAAGGTAAGACTTTGCATTTGCTCAGAATTTAAATTTTAAATTTTTATAATCTATAATATAGCAAACTCTTGTTTTAGAATTTAATAATTAATTGTTAAATATATGTGAGGTAAACATTTGAAAAAAAAAACATATTGCATATGCACTTTTCTGTCACTGTAAATTTAATTGAAAATTGAGTTGATATAAAAAAACTTATCTTATTAAACAATGAAGTCAAATGAATAAAAAAAAAAATGGTATATAATAAAATGAATTCTAACCTTTTCAATTTACAAGCGCGGTTCTTTCTACAGTTCAATGCAAATCCACATTATTAAAAACCTTAAAAACAACATCCTAAACAATAAAAAAACACTCCACAAAAACCCATCGAGGTAAAGCTGACTTTAAATTCAAATCACTATAAATCAACCCTCAATCGTGAAATTGAAACGACAAAATTAAAAATAATATTGATGAGAATTTATGATTGATATTGAGCAAATTGTTTTATAATAAAAAGGAGCTTTTCTTTTTTTTTTATACATTTTTTTTTTGCAATGAAAAACAACAAGCGGCTGTATTGGGAATTTCGTTACACATTAAGAGTTTTCTTTTAATTAGTATTTTTTTCTTCTCTTGAAAAGGAAAAGGTTGCAGGCAAAATAACCAATTTATACAAGATTTTTAGATCAAAAATTCAGTGCCAACTTATTAACTCTTAAATTATTAATTTATTTATATAAATATAAAAGCTGAGGATAAATAGCGTACAAAGAAATAAAGAAAAAAAAAATAATGTTAAAATTCACTCTCTGGTATACGTCCTATGTATATCCAACTCGGGGTATGTGTATATTGATTATGTCAATTTTTGCGCCGTCAAAGTGTCAACAGAACTTTTGATTGATCGCTGATTTGCTTTAGAGTAAAATAAAAGTTTGTCTCTCTCTCGTAAAGAGCGCGCCAAAAGAGCCGCCGTCACAAACGGAAAAAGTGTCTTGTCGTCTGCTTTTCATTTTCGTTCGTCGGCCCCTCTCGTATGTTATTAAATTCGCATTTTTCAAGGCAGGTGCGAAAAATGTGAAGGCGTGAATGCAGGTGAGGCGCAGCAGTTTTGCGAAATTACTATGATTAAATTATTAATTGCCGGCAGACACTAATTGAGCTGCAAGAGACAAAACTATTATTGCCGCCAATTAAACTGGTCAGCAGCATGTGTAGATGGGGAGCGAATTTAATATATCACCGCACTCACACACATGTGTGTGTTATACTTTGGGAAGGACCAGAGAGAGCTGTCAGACCCGAGTGAGATAAATAATGGCGGCGGCGAATCACTTGCGCGCCGCGTCGCTCACTCACTTAATTGTGGTCCATTACCTTTGACGCAATCAATTTGCGTTCTGATGCCAAAGCCTATTTATTTACCCCTCTCGCTCCACTTGCACTCATCGCACGGCCTGCTGTGTGTCGGAAGTCGGCGAAAACAATTCAATTTTTAATCTTGCTGTCGTGTCGAACATTCGACTCGCAAATTGCAACCATTAAGTGCAAATACGTCAAATATAATTATTTTACTGTACGTAACAAGACTCTGAATTAATATTTGGGGGTGGTTTGCATGGTATAGTTAATTTTTTCAGATAAAGTATAATAATTTTATAAAAATTAAAAGCGGATCAATCAAACTTTTCTTAGAATTTAAACATGCATAATGCATAATTCCATTATTTTCACAGCAGTTGAAAATATTTATCTGGCAAATAATTTTCCTTTTGTTTCTAAAAACATAAAAAAATTAATTTTTAATTCTCAATTGATTGCAATGATTGTAAGCATTAGGTGGTTATAAATCAAATTTAAATGCCAAAATCTCTCGTTTTTGTTATAAATACATAAATATTGTATAGTAATTTATATAGGCTTCAAAGCATTGTGGTATTCTCACTCACTCCGCTGTCCGCTTCATTATTCATCTCAAACCCTGCTCATCAGCTCAGTTATGTTGGCCAAAAAAAGATGTCTACCTTCCAGAGCCATAAGGCCCCATGGCTCTGACGGCAGCAGTGTACCAACATAATTTCGGGACGAGCAGGGTTTGATTCATCTTTAATACTACTTTAAGAAAATGTTAATGTGAAAATTGGAATTGAATCTATTCGTAAAGTGATCCAATTTTTTTTTAAATTATGTTTAGAACTCATGAATGTTAGGTCCTAATAGAAAAAATTGCCTATTATAATTTGAAGCAAATTATCTGATGAAATCTTATTTTTCCCTTATAATTTTAATAGTAGCTATTTTAATTTTATAATATATAATTATATAGTAATTTAAGTTTTTAATTTAATTAATTTATTTAATTATTACAAAGATATTGAGTTTTTATTTTTCTAATTAATTGTGTTTCTCTTACTACAACTTATATAACAAAATTATAATGTTACATGATAAT